GGCAATTGTTGGAGATACGGCTAAGGATGCGCAAGTTTCTCCAATAACCGCATATGGACGCATTGACAAGTCGACGCACAAGTATTATCTTCCATTGCCAAGTCGACGCGCAAGTACTATCTGACATATTGTCATATCACATTAAATGCCACCTACCGTAGTAAATGCTATAAATAGGGCATTTACTGCTTAGGAGATGGAGACTTGAATCAGCTCGAAACCACAGAGTTGTAATCTGACAACACGATATAAATAGATAAACTCTTTCGGTTTCCTTATATACTAGTAATCATCCCGCGCTCTGCGGCGGGTTATGTTCCATTTCTTAGTTCGGATGGAACATCCGAAAGTTTAAGAATGTAGACAATCAAAACACAAACTATAGGAGTAACTTGAGTTTGTATGGACTAATAGTTATTGCTCGGTAACTATAACAAAAGTAAGCGAGCAGAAATGCAAAGTCATGAACTTATCCAACTAAATAAACAAAAGAGTGTACCATACTTGATGGTCGGGAGAAAACCTTGCACCAGTACTCGTTCCGACTAATACCACCACTCATATATACTATCCTGATTCGGATGGTGTAACTCGAGGAGGCAAATTGTCACAGAAACCCCACGAAAAAAATATATTAGAACTGAAAATGACTGAAGCAAAATCTCGTAACATTCAACCTCTTTCTCAATGTCATCGTATTCACAATTCAGACACTGGAAGTCAACTATCACTAAGCACACCTTGAGCACTCATTATTCACTGCACAGCCAGGTGCATACAGAGCTACTTTGCCATACTTCTTCATAGTCCTCATGTGAATGTCTTCCAACTATTAAAATGGCATTCTACCTGGTTAAGTAGCTCATCCAATTAAATTGAGTGGTAATGATGTCATTGAAACTTTTTGAAAAACTGATAGTGGATTTGCCTTCTTAAGTAAGAAGATAAAAAGATAAGTAAGAAGATAAAAGATAAACAATGTCATTATACAAAAACCCATCTTATTAGATAATACACCAGGCAATCACACCTACAAACAAAGGAATGGGTCACAAGATGATACGACATTGTCCACCCATAGTTACCAACGCACAACATTGGATCTATAAAACAAACTCCTCGACTTCTTTTTAATTTATTCTCCCAGCAACAATAGAATTAAGCACTACAATTTTGGTTTGACCAATCAATAACATAAGCATAAGAATTCAAACAATACATCTCAAACTCCAATTAAGAAGTTCCAATCTCAAGTGAACTGTCTCTTGTCCAAAATTAGCAGAATCCTCTCATCCATTGGTTGACCATCCTTTCTCTTTATAGATAACTGAAAAACAATGGGGACGAATTAGATGATGCATTTTCCTAATATTATAGGTTAAAACTGGAAAACCAAGCTTTTTTAAATGCTTGATATGTGTGTTGCCAAACAAATAGAGAGAAAGATATACATACATGTATTATATACAATCTAAAGATGCATCAGCTTAGAAAATCTCAATGCTACCTTAAAGCAAACAGGGAAACCATGCCGCTTACCCACAATAACATAAGCATCACCCACACAGAAGTTATTCGGAGAACGTAATTAGTAATCACCGAGCTATTACAATCTGGACTTGAAATCACTTACAACCCACAGATTATCAAGAAGACACCCTAATTGTCAACACAAAAATTGCCTAAATGCAACAAGCATTTGCTCTAGCATGGTCTGATATTGCGTTCAGACATACGCAAGACTCCTTTCTCTAAGTGTAAGGCTCCCTTCTCCAAACCCTCTCATTCTGAATTAGCCATTAAAGGACACAACATGACCATTCTTCAATAAATTATACCTTCAACTGACACATAAATGAAAACAGAAGTTTAAGAATCAATATAAGACTTCCCAAGACTCCCTAATCGTGCAGACAACAAACGCCACAGGAAAACGTAACTCACACTAAAGAAACTCCAGCAAAACTTAATTGCTTGGATCAAAGGATCATCTGACTCCGCGATTCATAATCATCACATCCCAATTTGGCTTTGATATGGAAAAAGAGACAGCGATATATATCAGAAGGGGGAATGTGTCAAATGAGAATTGAAGTGAAGGGAGTGCAAAGGCAACCAAGAGGGGAGATCATAGCCAGTGATGAGGAATCGAGCATTACCTCTCTGCGGCGACGACGTCTCATCCCTCAACAATTTCAATTCCTTCGACAGCCCAATGAAAAAGGAAAAGAGACCTGCTTGGAAGAGAGATAGCCAAGCATATTGACAAAAGAGACATAATTAGCAGAGTAAACAGAGAAAACAACGACATGTTCTGCAGTTTGGGATCTTCCTTTGAGCTTCCAATCCGGATGAAAGAAATAGATAACAGAGGGATAAACTACCTGTGCTTGGGTGATATGCTCTGTCATCCCACGCTTGCCGCCACCCCATGAGTCACCATAGAAGGAGAAAAGAAAAGGGAGTCAGCATCTACATTTCCTAAAAACAAAAGAGCGATATCGGAATCACACTGGAATCGGCAGATCTGTCTCACCAATATATTGAAAAGAAAAAGGGACCGGTAGTATTCCAAGCCACATCGCTCAGGGTTGTCATCGTGGCATGCTGTGGGATAGATAGCTTCTGAAGATCCATATGTAAAATGAACTGTCGAAGAGCGAGAGAAGGATTCACGGAACCCTGAACCACTTAACCAAAAGCAGGAAAATCTCTGTTAGTGAGCAACGGAAACGAACGATATCCATAGGATCAATAGAACATCTTACCTAGGAGATACGCAACTGAAGGATGCATTTCCTCTATTGTAGAGCTCGGGGCTATGATGAATCTCGTTGAATCTCATGAATCTCCTTCGAAAAATCGACTGTCTGAGCATACGAACTGCCAGGAGCTTTCACAGGTCAGAAATCGTGCAACTGAAGATGAACAGGGGAAGAAAATCGGAGACCAGTGTTAAAGGAATATGCAACTAAAGATCACAGAAGAGGGAGGCAATGCAAAATCATCAAATCCTCACCCTAAACCATCAGGGTTATCAATCAGGTTCCCGTCGATCGATCTCGTCACCCCGGCGTGCATCATCTCCATCGTTGATCTACAATCCAAACAATGGATCATTAGACCGCTAGCTTCGTGTTACAAATCGATGGCCTCCCTGACTGTGAACTCAAAGCAGATAACCTCCTCTGAAAGGTGATAAAAAAATCGATGTTAAAAAGAAAGAGAGATCGCACTTATCCGAGTGAAGAGAAGAAATCAAATCATCAAAATAGCGAAAATATACCATGCAGATTTGTGCCTCCTCCGATTCCTCTCTCGGCTTCTCGGCTTCTCTTTCTCCAATCGATCGCTCCAAGCTACTGAGGGGCTGTGAGAAAAAAAGCAGAGAGAAGAGAGTGGAGAGAGGAAAATACTGGGAAACTAAATGCACTGATGGGTTATATTTTCGTCTCCACCCAATGCACTCATGATTTGACCCTTCTTTTCTCTCATAATTCACTTAAACTGTCAAGCAACTCATCACTCTTCCCAACCTCAAGATCGCTTCCCAACTCAATAGTGGCCATTTATTTTTCCTGTGACCAATGCGTCGCTTTCTCCCAAGAATAAGCAGGTGTAAGGGTAATGTGTGTCAGTTGCCGGTCCAATAAGGAGAGAAACGTAAGGAAGGGGAAACGATACTTTCACAAAGAGATAAGGACGACGTAATAATTATCAGAAGGTGTAATAATTATCAGAAGGCCCCAGAGGGAATGGTTGAGAGAAGTAGAGAAAAAAATCAATAAAACAAAAAGCGAAGGGAAAATGAGCGTCCAGTTGAGGACAACGCGGCACACACAGAAATAATGGAGGCGAGCAGCCAATAAGAAAAGGCGGCCGGGCCCAATCGCAGACCATGGACCAATGGGAAAAGGGTGAACAGTAATTTTGAGTCTAAATGAATAGTAATTTCGTGTCTAGGCGAACAGTCTACCGTGTCTTTGCAAATAACCTTTTTCAATGCATTTCTTCCTCTCACAAGTGAGAACAAGCTAAAACAACTACTCGCACCCTCCATGACATGCATGTCTGCCTCCTACCCCCAGCCAGACACAAACATTTGCTTAATACTCGATATTGCCAACAAAAACTAAGTTTTATTTAATTAAAGATGTTTCAACCCGGACAATGGGCACCTTTTTCTATGAATACTGGGCACTTAGTTTCATTCGAATCTATCTCTAGTAGGGGGTGTGCAATGGTCCGATCCGGGACCGGACCGTACCAGAACAAACCGAACTTTGAACCGGTCCGGACCAGATCGAGTATAATGCAGTCTGATTCTTGGTCCACATGAATTTTACAAGGGTTAATTGCATGGTTGGTCACTGACATTACAAAAAGCGTTCATGTTTGGTCACTCGAAATATTTAAATCCATTTTTGGTCACTAACTTTACAAAAACAGTTCATTTATGGTCACTCTCCATTAGCTGCCGTCCAACGCCGTTAACGACGTCCGTTAAGTGATGACGTGGCTGACGGATTCGCCTAATCATCACCTTTTAACCCAAAAATTGACTGACCCGACCCGCCACGTCATTTAAACCCTCCATGTCAGCCAAACCTAACCAAACATCTAACCAAACCAGATCAGACCAGACCCCTAAATAAAGAACTGACCCGACCCACCAATTAATCTACCCACCTTTGACTAAAACCCTAATCAAAGACAAATCCATCTACCTCCATCCCGCGCGGCCTTCCTCCCTTTCGTTTTTCTTCCTCTCCAACTCTAATCGCCAATTCGCCGGCCACGAAGGAGGAATGGAGTCCGCCCTACCATAAAATTTCTGAATCTGAACCAGAAGCTGAATCGCCATTAATTCTTCTCTATAAATACGGTACCTCCAATCGTCCCCCATTCCCTCAACGAAACCCACTACTCCAAAACCCTAACAAAATCCACTCAGCAGCAGCCATGGCGATCCTCTCCGACATCGAAGAAACCCAGTCCAACCAAACCCAGAATTCTCCCCCTCCAACCAATCCCCCGCCGGCGGCGGCGAAGAAGAAGGAAGACAACACTTCTCTGCTTCCAAATTCCGGCAATGGGCTCGACCTGGAAACTATTCGTGGGGACAGAGCCTCGAGGAGGTGACGATCACCGTTCCGGTCCCTGCCGGAACCAAATCTAGGCAGATTGTGTGCGAGATCAAGAAGAAGTCTCTGAAGCTGGGGCTCAAGGGCGAGCCGGCAATGATCATCGACGGCGAGCTGTTCGGACCGGTGAAAGTGAGCGATTCTTTCTGGCAATTGGAGGATCAGAAGACCGTCTCTGTTCTGCTGACGAAATTCGAGGAGAAGAACAAGAGCTGGTGGAAGTCGCTGGTGAAGGGCGGGCCGTAGATTTCTCAAGGCAAGTTCAGTGCGGACTCCATTCCTCCTTCGTGGCCGGCGAATTGGCAATCAGAGTTAGAGAGGAAGAAAAACGAAAGGGAGGAAGGCGGCGTGGGATGGAGGCAGATGGGTTTGTCTTCGATTAGGGTTTTAGTCAAAGGTGGGTAGATTAATTAGTGGGTCGGATCAGTTCTTTATTAAGGGGTCTGGTCTGGTTTGGTTAGAGGTTTGGTTAGGTTTGGCTGACATGAAGGGTTTAAATGACGTGGCGGGTGGGGTCAGTCAATTTTTGGGTTAAAAGGTGATGATTAGGCGAATCTGTCAGCCACGTCATCACTTAACGGACGCCGTTAACGGCGTTTGACGGCAGCTAACGGAGAGTGACCATAAATGAATGGTTTTTGTAAAGTTAGTGACCAAAAATGGATTTAAATATTTCGAGTGACCAAACATGAACGCTTTTTGTAATGTCAGTGACCAAACATGCAATTAACCCAATTTTACAATTACTGAAGAAATTAGGGACCGAACTGATATTTGGATCGGACCAAACCTTACCAAATGGGTCGAACGCAATAATGGTCCAATCCTTGATTCTAAGATGTCTTTCACTAATGGAACGCTGTTCTCATAAGTTTGATCCGGTCCAGACACCGTTGCACACCCCTAATCTCCATAAACAAATTTATTGGATGTGCCCGAAGAAACATTTCCAGAAACAATGCATCCAGTTAGATTGATGTTTTGTAAGTTCCCACATCATGGCCTTTGAACCTAGAAAGAAGCAGCAGCAAATGGGACTTGGGAGGGTGTATGAAACTACCCTGCATAAATAAAGAATATAAAAAAAGGCTGGAGCTTTGATATTGACCAAGTTACGACGGTGAACTATTTTGTGCATTTTCTATACAAATGGGATTACATTTCCCTGATACATTGGTACATCCAAAACACTGCTAGTCTTTCTCCCTTCTGCCCACCACAATGATCACCCGAAAAAACAATACCTCATAGCATTAGGTATGGAAGAAGACAGCACAGGATGTCCATTGCAGTTTCCACATACCATTTTTCTGATCACCAAATTGATTGCTTGATCCCGAGACCGTTACATGTTAGTATGAGCCCCTTATAACGGTTAAGATACTCCTGCATCCAACAACCTTGATAAGAAATTGAATGCATTGAAGTTCAATGGGGATAACAGGAAGAAAAACGGTGTCAAGAAAAAGCAGCCTTACTATAATGTTATAGTCGTAGACATGTGACATCCCTACAGTATCATACTCTCTCCTCCTTTCCGGATCGCTTAAAACTGTTTCAACACATCAACGGCTTCAACAATTAGCAAAACCTGAGACAACCATCGTTCTTCTTTTGACAGAAATTGAAACAATAGACCTTTTCTGACCAAGATGATAAAAGAAAAATTATCAAGTCAGAATGCCAAAGTAGATAGCAATCATACAAAACAAATGCTGTTCCTTCTGATTTCTAAGCAATGAGAACTGTCGCTTTGCAACTATCCTTAACTACAGTTATGATTGATGAAGTGGCAATGAACTTGACACAAGGAAATACAAATAAATGATAGCGTACACTATTGAGGTTGGAGATGATATGAACAAGTCTAACAGGAAATGCCAACTAGATTCAGATAACTTCTCCTCTCCCTCTTCTTAGTTCTCTTTTCATGTTCTTAGCATGAGCAAACATCCAATGGCATATAGGAAAAAGAATAACCCTCTTAGAACTTCTCACTTAAAGAGCATTATGGTCAAAACAAAAAAACAAAAAACAAAAAAACTTTCAGGTATTTTTTGACAACATATCAAAGCAGGCAACTGCAAACTACAACTTAGAGCTTCATTTGTCACATCCGCTCTGAAGTTCTCTTGACAGTGGGAAGAACTACATCAAACAGTCAATTAAGAATGATAAGTTATAAGGAATTTAACAAATAAACCAATGAAGTATCATGCATCATGTGAGAACTATACAAGGCGCGTGATCTAAGAAAACCAGAAATTATGTAACTTCTCAACCTCATGGTAATTTGACAACAGAATATCTAGAAAGACTTGACTAACTCTAATTCAATTTATCAGAATTACTTGCCGTTAGAAACTCGTTTGAGGTTTGTCATTATAAGAGTTCCAGAGTACGAGTTTCTTTCTGTTTCATTATAATAGTTCTCGAAGAAGCTAGCTGGTCATTTAGCGCTAATAATTTTAGCCAAGGTATTAGTTCAAGTTGTTTTCTTTAATTACCTTGTTATAGGCTTCTTTACAGAATTTTGAGAGAAGAACTGCCCAGTAGAGATTGCTGCTAATGTTGTGTGATCTAATTCTTATGTAGGATTGAAACTTAAAGACATCTATGTTCCAAAGAACATTATGCTTTCTATATATAAACAAAAATTATACTTTTTATTCTTTACAATGGCAAAACCTGTGCACAGCCCCAAGCCTGAAACCCAATATCCTCAATTCCGGACTCGAATTCAGCTCCAACATTAGTTACATAAATTTTGCTAAACCACAAATGGCACCAAACAATAAAACCAACATTGTGAAGGAGAACATGTTTAATCACAAACTCTTAGCCCCTTTGATGCATAATATATATAAAAGGAGAGATAACTGTAATTTTTGTGCAAAGCAATTTGTATTCTCAAGAAATATTAGTTCAAACATCCATGAAACACTACCAGTGACACCCGGCATCATTTTCATCCTAGGATGCAAGACTTGTCAGAACCAATCATCGTGCAGGACTGAGGATGGGCAGTTTGTAGAGCCATTATATGACATGTTACGGGACGAAGCAGGAAGGTTCAAGCTTAAATGAAGTTCCTGATAGGGGTAATTTCCTACTTTACAATAAGTCTTTACGTAAAAAGGCACTAGATTCTGTAAGAACACACAGGCTAGGTGAATACATAGTTCTATTGGCTTCTCAAACTTATAACTTATGAAGTGTGTTCAGATATTTGGTTTGGATAATGAGTTTTAAGAGCCATCAGTCCTCTCCTTCAGTACTAGCTTGTTCACACCTACATGAGATTATCAAACCTAGAACCATACTAACCTTGGGTATTGTTAAAAACTACTGCTTTTCCTCCAATAAAACAGATTGGTTATGTAACACTTGAATTCTGCATGAGAGCCCAGCCCTTTGGCTCCATCAACTTCTGGGAAGTAGCAACTCCGATTTCCAAGATTCTAACTAATATGATTGAGTAATTCAGATTAGGCCTCTCACCCTCATTCAAATTTCTATTTTTTCCAACTTAGGCAATATTTGAGTTCCTCAATACAGCAAAAACACTGAAAAAGTGTACCATTTGCTACTCACCAAAACCAATATAAACAACCATACTGTCCCGCGTTTTATATGTCCACCGATACCGGTAGTTAGAGAACTTTGGCAACTCCTTCCTCTTGCAACAATAAAAGTCAAGACTCATTTACCAGCCCAAAAGTTCAAGAGCTAGTTAGCTGGGTGGGTCTTGCCAGGAGTTCATCTGTAAGCGCGACAATTCTACTCCTTTGAAGGGAACAAAGACATATGTGCTCCCTTGGCAAACAACAAAGAAAGGGAGAAAATAAAAAAAGATGCAAGGGGTCTAAGATTCACTATGTACACCAAATTATACACAAAACCCACTACCGTGACACCACATCAGTTGCTTCCGCTTCAAAATCATGTGCCAGTAGGCACACACAGAACCTTCTAATGTTGCAATTAAAATTCAGCCAAAAAGGAGAGAAGCGATAAGCCTCCACATGTGACACTTCTACAACCCGCAAATGCAGAAACCCAAAAATTGACGAGGGGCAGAAAGCAATGCAAGCAAGTAGATTAAAGAAGGAAACGAGGACCAACCTTGGTAAGCCTCATTTATTTCTTGAAATCTAGAAGTAGCATCGTCCTGGTCCTTCTGCTTATCTGGATGCCATTTCTACAACCCCACAAACGAAGGAACCCGGGAAAAAAGCAAGGCAATCAATTCACCAGAATACCAACAACCACCAACTCTCCCCCATTTCAAGACCAGCAACCGACGGGAAATTACAAGACCCTATTCCCCAGAAGTACAATTGAAGCGAATTTGTGGAAGTAAAATTGAAATTACACAAACCAGGGCGAGGCGTATATAATTGGCACGAATAGCATCCTCCGAAGCATCGTAGTCGACTTCCAGTATCTTATAGTAGTCCTGCATTTCAGAAAATGCCCAAAATCACCCCCACACGGCAAAAAGCACAACCCTAGAATTCCCCTACAGAAGTCAAAAGGTGAATGGGGAAGCTGAATGAAGGACCTGGGGCTTGGAGACGAGAGATAAGAAATCGAAATTGAGGTAAGCGTCCTGGTGGTCGTCGCCGGCGTCGGGCTGATGGTGATCATGACGATGATGAGGTTGAGGATCGTCGAAGCCATCCCAAGTCATCATGCTCCGGCGAAAGGGAAAATGGGTTGTGGGAACGAAAATCCGGGTAGCTAGAGGATTGCTCTTCTGCTCCGGCCTTCTTCCAAGCTTGTATCTTGAAGTGTGTTTTGGATAAAATCGAGTGCGAGGGAAAGGAGGCGAAGAAAATGGGAAGAAGGGGTCGGTCGATTGCTGTTATGGCTGTGCGGAGACGGGCGGTGATGTGGCGTTTGTGTAGATCGGCGTGCCGCGTATTTTGCCCACTTTGTGCACTTATTGACCTCGAGTCACCTGTTTTATTTCTTTGGGTCTTTTCAAAGTGAAATTATTTAAATGATTTGATTATACAAAAGAACCAAAAAAATCTATAGTGAAATTTTCAGGGATATTTTAGTCATTTGTGTCGCCCAACTAAAGTTTGGTCTTGGTTAACGGTTTTTGGATGAAAATTTTAACAAAAGAGCATGTTTGATAATTTTTACAAAGTACAGGGGCATGTTTGATATAAAAAATAGTAGAGGGGCATGTTTGATAAAACATCATAGTAAAGGGGCATATTATCCCTATAACCCAAGAAAATAATATCAAGACAGTGACTTATATGTAAACCTATCACGGCAGGGCATTGTTAATTACAGGAAATATATCAAGATAATAACATAAACCTAAACCTGATGTATCTTCTACGGATGAAAATGAATTATTGTGAAACCATAATGTTTTTTTTATTTGATAAGCGAGGGAACCTCAGCCCCACGTGCTGCTTGAGCGACAGCGGGGCCTACTAAACCACTGGGGTACCTGCATACTAACCGGGGCTTTCTGCTACCAACATCGGGGAGGCTTCGCCTCCGATACCAAGGGTGCCGCCGGAAACGCTCAAGTGGCGGCACTGGTGAAACCATAATGTGAAACCAAGAAGTCTTGGAGAAAAAGTTAGTAATAGAGTATTTTATATTAAAATTGTTATTCAATCGTTTCGTATTAAAATCGAGTTAAAACCTTCTTGCATTAAAATGAAGAACCAAGCCGATTAAAATTCAGGAAAAATAAAAGTTCTATTACGATTTATTTGGTCGGTTATTTCAAAATGACTATTACGAGTTTTGTTGCCCATACATATCTTAGTAGAGGTCTTTTTAACGGAGTTATTAATTGTATTTAACTCATTCTTAACAAGTTCTTCATATGTTATCTAATCTATTGACTAGGTCTGAAACAAGACAAGAAAGTTTTGAGAGTAGAACAACTCAAAGGTGATTATAGTTCTCCATACTCTATTCAAAGTTTGAAGTAATGATTATACACAAAAGAACCTAGATCACATCATTGAGTTGAGACATAAATTATAGGCTGAACTCGATTTACTAAAAATTCAATGTGTTTCTTCTTCCCTTCATCATCTTATTTTCTCTGCTAATAATACTTTGTTCTTAGTGGAACCTTTGCAAATTACTTGTGCGGGATTTGATATGTTCAACCTGAGGGGTCTTTTAGTTGATAGCTATTGACAAAAATAGGATTAACTCAATGCCTCAACAGAAAGCATGCCTAGCTTGTGGTCTGACCTAAATAAGTTCCAACAGTCAAATCCAACCAAAAATGAAGATGGCATTTGAAGACACGTAAAATGCACATTTTTATCACCTCTATGACATGTTGTACATGTTTTTAACATATATGGGTTCGTTATGATTCGAAATTGCTTGGAGTTTGCTCAAAGTTGTATTTAGTAGCCACTCGGAATGATTTTATACTTGTAATACCTATTTTGTAGTTTTTTTCTACATTTTTAGGCCATAGCACCTTAGTGGACCACCTTGAATGAGATGCAAACATCAAGCAGAAAAGAAAAGGCCAAGATCATGTTTATCGAAGTGGTACCTGTGATTCCTGTGAATCGAAGTCACCACCACTTACGAAAGAGAACACATAAAGCAAACCACTCATAGCTCTTTCCCTTAACCCCCCCCCCCCCCCCCCTTTTCAATCAGTGTTCAGAGGTAGAGAATAAGTCACTCTCTGAACCTGACACTCCAAGGGACATGGGTACACGAACATTGTAAGAATACGTCAGGCCTTTAGACGCGGACATAAGTTCCAACATCGTCTTTTCACCTATCATGGTCCAAAATTTTGAGTTATAAACATCTATGATTCACATGGTTCAAAATGCTAAACGTTTTGAAGAAAGATAAAACGAAAATCACGTAAAGCATATCAAAACGTTTGTGGAAATTTGTGATTCTACACAACCCCATGGTGTTAAGCATAATGCAATATGCTTACGTCATTTTCCTTTGTCCATATGGGAAAATCAAAGAGCTGACTAAATTGATAACCTCCTGGCACATTTCATTCATGGTTGGTCCGCAGGTCCGGTACAAGCCTTCAACAAAGAGTTATTGCCTCTATGACAAGGAAATCACCAGCAACACAAATCTTTTGTATGCAAGTGGTGTGGCAAAGATGATCATGAAGGAAGACATTGTGGGACCATAAGTTAATCTCAACAAGATAATGTCAACTGTGTTGAGCAGAGGTATCCTTAGAATTGTGATCTTAATCGAAATAGCTACCAATATAATGGGGAAGCCTATCAAGCAAATGCCTATAAAAGCTAGTCCCTACTACCATCTGGACCATGCCACATCCTGGAGGTCATAAGCAAGCTGATTATCCAAAAATCATGTCTACTGATGCTCCCTACCTTCATGATGCACATTAAGACGGAAAAGCTCTATCCAATAAAAATGGGATGAAGAAAACAAACTCATTACCTCATGGGTCGACCGACAAGCTAGAAGCTCTAGTTCATCGGTGGCAAGCTATTATGCAAAACATGGAAAGTCGAATAGCTTGTATTTACTGGCGCACTCAATGCCATCAGAACTCAAGGATCTCTACCAGACAATACGGGGAACAACCCAAAGGATGAAATCAAAACTCTTTGTGCCTATGCCCTTGAACCTCGTCAAATGTTCAAGGCAACTCGTCAAGAATCAGAATTTTCCAAGATTTCGTCCCAGAGAAGTCGCATAGGGGGTAAAATTTGGAAAGGAAGCTAAACTGAAAAATCCTACATGGGTAGAAAATGACAGCCTAGATAATTGTCATATGTTGAGGCTCTAGATAACTGGCCAGAACTCACCAACAATTGATTTTGGAGTCTATGAAGTGCTCATGCAGAATTTGACATCATTTAGGCGTACAAATTCTATAAAGTGAGAAATCTCACTTTTGCACAACTAAAAATAAATTAATTAATAAGAGAATTTTCGTCAGTCCAATTCCTCTAAGAAGTCTCCCATGACTCATAGCCACTATCGAGAGTCTTCCCACTCCATAACTCCCTATGAAAAAAACTTCTTCGTTGGAGAAACAAGGAGTATGAATCCTTTCTCTTATGGTGAAGGATTATATTCCTAGTAAAGGCCTTTCTCCTCCTACTATCGAAACCACAAAATTTTGGAGAATAAGGAGAACCAGCATCTTTTTTGAGAGAAAAAATGGTCATATTGACCAAATTTTGGTGTGCCATTTTTTATATCTCACTAATATAATCTAAATATGAAATTCCAAAAGTGTTTCACGAGTTCCTAAAGGTTCAGTGAGGAGAAGACGTTGTTCCACCAATTCTAAAGGCCATCATTGAGATGCCTAACCTCGTGTAAGCCATGGAAAAGTTTATGAACAAGGAAGATCCACCTTATCCACCCTCTATAAATCTGACAACACCATATGTCATCCTAGAGGGATGGTTAAAGATATCCAAGTCGAGATTGAACCCTTCATCTTCTCTCTCAACTTTGTAGCAGACGTCTCGATATGGATAAGGATAGGGTTACAACTTTTATGATGCTCTTACACGATATACACCATGTTTGTGCTTATTGATTGCTCTGCTATATTGAATGCATAATTATAACTAAAGTGTGGGGTTATTGTACTTTGTGGTGGATGACTAATGCCTATATTGTACAGCTTTCCACGATGTAGGAAGACTTGGTTCGAGAAAAGAAGTTGGGGTCACCTCATATCAGGACTCCCCTTTCGAGAATGAGGCAAGCTTTCCAGCACTCCCACTTGCACTTCTAGAATTACCTCATGTGCACCCCTCCTTCAATGATCTGTCCAATTTTGTTGCTCTCCTAGAGAAGCAATGCATTAACACGAAGGATGAGGTTGAGGAGATGGGGGGTCTATAAGGCAACACGAGGTAAATTCTTTGCTACGGTCAACACCTTTTCTCAAATGCACTTGACCTAGCAGGAGTGGTTTAAGAAACTAGTGTGAATTCCTTCATTCAACCATACATGTGTCACCTGTCATTCTGATATGCGTCTAAGGAAACTCTAGAGGGAGATTTACCTTTACAACATCTTCCTTTACTGTCTTCCTCGTCCAGTTTACTTTAATTTCATTTTATGTTTGCTTCTCCTTCAAAAAAACACTTACAAAACTAAAGGAGCTCAACCTCAAATCGATTTCCAATCAAAGAACAAGATTTTTAGTATATTAGTAGTGGAATTGTAAAGGCCTTGAGTTAATACGGTCCTAGTTACCTACCATGTATATTTAACCCCCTATTCTATATAGATCAACCCTCTCTCGTGTCTTTATCATCTTCTTCCTTCTTTTCTTTGCAATTTTCCAAATGAAGATAGTTTACTGTTAACCGTGCCTGATCTTTTCTCAATTGGTACCAGAGTAGGTCTCAAACTAGTAGCATGATCACATAGATGGACCCATCAAGCTCTTACATAAAAATGCTCAACTACTTGCCAACAATAAATCAAATTAAAGGTCATTCGACAATAAGACCACAAAATATGGACGAGAATAGCTACACATTCTAAAAGGGATGCATTCAAGACTAAGATATGAAAGTCGGGATCAACATTCAAAGAGGTCCGGGAAAAATCTTAAATGACATAGATTCCTGGTTGAGGTTTATATGGCCAAGCTACAAATCAATGCTGAGACAAAACATATACTCAAGTGTGCTTTATGAAGAGAGGAGTTAAGAAAGGTTGCAATGTCCAAGTCGGTAACTACTCTTTGATGCTCTAGAGGAGGAATTAGATTTTCAGATAGCTTAACCAAATAACTTGACTACTTAAAGTTCAAAAGGGGTAAAAAGTCAAAATTTGATATGCAAGGTGATGATAGGTGAAACTTTAAGAAAAGAAGTTGCTTTAAAAAATTGTGTTGAAGTATGAGTAAGCTAAATTCAACTGAATGCCGATAAAGGTACCCTTATATATTACAAGTGTGGAAAACTATGACACCTGAGGGCAGA